TGAAGGATTCGATAAACCAGCACCGTTCAGTTAACGAGAGCGGGCTCGTTAATGAATATCCACCTGAACCCCAAACCGTCGACAGTCGCGTGAACATCGAAAAAAAAAACAAAAAAAAAAAGAAACATACAAACGTACTTACACCGTCGCCGTAAAAGTGAGGTACTTGTCCGCCGAATGTCGGGATTTAAACCGGCAGAATTTCGGGGCTGGGTTTCGCCAGACGATTCCCGCGGCTGCTCTCGCGAACGACGCGAGGGAGAAAGGGGGAACGTACGTGACACGGTCGCCGCATGCCGTCGCGGCGGAAACGTCGCCGACAAGGCCGGCGGCATCGCGGGAGAATCGCACCCGCCGGGAATTATGTACGCCGGTATCGAATCGCGAACGGCACGGATTGTAGCGGAGGTACATACTCGTAGTAACACTCACCTCTCGCCAGCTCGTGAAGGTGTCCCCGGCTGCTCCGATCGTCGATCCGCCTGCGCTTCGTCCTACGGTCTTATCGCTGCTGGCTGTCGTTCCGCCCGACGCCGCTCCGCTCGTGCATTCGAATCGGCGGCGAGTCACTCGTACGAGACACCCCGAGACGCGCTATCGGCCGACTATCACGCGAGCGAAAAAGCACTTTGGCCGACAGATACCGCCATTTTCCGGGGCGCGGCCCGTGTGTTGCCATCTAGCGGGCGCAGCGCGAGCGACATGCGAGTCGAGCTACGTGTAACGCCCGTCGATAATCATTTTCTCTACTCGTTACATACATATACATACATGTATACATATACATATATATTTTTAATATTACAAATGTATAGACTTACACAAATTTTTAAAGAAAATACCTTTATATAAAACTAAATACTATTATACATTATACTTCAAATTCAAATTTTTCAAATGTTATTAATACAAATTCTTCAATTGCGTTATCATGCACAGCTGCGGGAGTTTAGTTTAAATTAACATATGTTACATCGTGGTGATATGGGAAAAACGTATTATTTTTTACACAATACAAAAACTTTTGCAAATCTCTGCATAATAAATAAAAAAACGAGAACTCGAATTTTGATAAAATGTATACATATTGATAATATTGATATTGTATAGTCGTGGACAGATCGTTTGCGACACTTTTTTCTTATAGATTTCAAAACGCACTAATATTTTGCAAATACGAATCACGATTCGTGTTATCAAGCGCTGCGGTAGCGGCGCGACGCCAAGTATATAAAAGTCGGGTGATGACATGTGAGTATATATATATTGTCTCTAAACTATAAGAGTGCATCGTGGTTTGCATTTGCAAAATAATTAGTATATTAGTTACCTATATAAAATATATATTACGGATAATATTATGGATAAATATAATATTAAATATATATTAGAAACCTATAAAAAAAAGTGTCTCGCAACCGATCTGTCCACGACTGTACAATACTTGCATTTCTTTAACAATTAAAAGATCTTTCAGAAATATTATATAAAAATCATCTTTTCTCCTGGTTGAGTCGACCAAGGTAATATTTTTCGCAATAAGTTATGTTTACAGAGGATTTATAAAGATGCTTTATTAGCCTCGATTTATTATTAGATTGACTTAATAATTAATTTAATTTTGATATTACATACTACATTAAAAGACGCGACGATAATTATGCAGCGCGCAGTTTGCCTGAACTGATAATTGTAAGATTATTCACACATATTATAATATTATCTATAGCAATATCCGCTTATTGCACCGTGTTGACATTTTCGCATTTCAATATCTTTTTTCTTCTAACAAGATTCTCTCTCTCTCTCTCTCTCTCTCTCTCTCTCTCTCTCTCTCTCTCTCTCTCTCTGTATAGTATCAAAAATTATTCTTTTAAAATATTCTGCGTATAAGTTTAAAGTTATGGGTTATCTTTAGTTGCGTAAGCAAATATAAGGCGCACGTTTATTGCATGCCTGAAAATAGTGTGTCCGATGAATACAAAAAATTCGCAATTGGACTACAATTTATATTCATTCAAAATTTTCATTAAAAAAATATTCATTCAAATATTTATTCAAATTTGCGGGCTTTTAAAAATATTTATTCGTAAATATTTTATAATTATTTTATAATTTATTTATATTTATTTATACAAAATGTAAAGTAAAAAAGAAAGTGAAAAATAAATTTATATATCATTATTAATATCCAGATTTGATAAAGAAAACTTACAAATTTTGAAAAAAATTTTAGAAAACAAATTTTTTACTTAAAAATCTTTTATTCGCAACAATAATTCTTTTTATGATATATAATTTTTATTTTTTATATTTTTGCAAACCAAAAAGAAACAGTAAAATCGAACATTGCAATTTCGTACAGATTACAATAACAGTAATGTTAATTTTATAAGATATTTTAAGTACTTTAGCATCTCGTGGATTGTAAATAAAATGTATTATTTAATTAATAGATTTAATTAATAGATTCCTCAGAATCTCCAATAAAAGCACTGGCAATAGTTCTCATTTTCTCCTCGAAGTCTGAATTTTAGTGTACAGAGTGGGGGTGAATGCGAAATCGAAAATATTCGTAATCATATTCACAAATATATTCATTCAAATCGCAAAAAAAAGTATTTATTCAATTTTCCATAAATATGAAAGAAGTAGTATTTGTACTCGTACTCATATTCATTATTTATTTACTTCGAATATTGGATGTATTTATCGGACACACTACCTGAAGAATGTAACTCTATATAAAAGCGGATATATATAGAAACTTAAGTTATGCAACATTCATATTTACAGTTTGCAGAAATATTTTTTGCGATTTTGTGACAAAAATAGTAACACGTCCCCAGATAGCTCAGAGAATTCAAGAAAAACTCAGTCGTATGTCATCAATTATGAGTTTGTTTTGAAATACAAAAAAAATTCTTTTTCTAAAAATTCTAAAAAAGAAATCTTTTTGCACCTGAAAAGATATGAACTCAGAATTAACGAGGATATACGACTAAATATACGAATAAATTCTTTTCGAACTTCGTGTGCTACCTGCAAGGTCGATCCTTCACGTGTAGTCAGGGTAATTATCTCAATTGTCCAAAGAATGATAACGAGTAATTACAACATGACGAAACACATATGAAATTTGTTCCACGTGTAGGTTTTTTTCCGTACCATAGATTCCGTACCATAGTACAATACATTATAAATATTGGCATACAAATAACGTAATAATAATATCACCATATTAAAAAAATGCCAAAAATTACCTATCGCGTTGCAGGTTAAAACAGATATAATTAATCGTTTGATGAATAAATCAAAATTGTCAATGAGCACAATGTTGTTAGATGTGTCCAAGAGCCTTATATAAGTCATAATTAAAAAGTCAAATAGGGACAAGCCTTAAAATCTTGCGGTATTACTGGACTCATATAATAAATGACATAAAACACTTCTAAAGTACTTAAGTACTTCATTATTTTATTAAATTAAATCAATTTATGATATAATTTACATTTGACATGATGTAAATTATGTTAATAATCAATTTATTCACTTCTATTGAGTACCATAAGTGTTTCTTATCGTTTTTGCTAAGACATTCGAGTTAATTTCTCTATAAATTGTGATATGCACCATTCAAAAAATATTTATTATACTTTAACAGTTAAAAAATAGAATATAATCTTTGGTATTATATACATTAATACTTTAACTTAATAAAAAAAATACTTTGTCTATTTGTACCAGTTTAGTTTTATGACTTATTTAAAATATAAAAGCACATTAATAAGGACTGCAGGCACACTAATAGGGACAGTTACCCTATATACTTAGCATATTATACTTAGCTTTATTTAACAAATAACAAAAAGTTCTCAATTGTTTAAATATGAATAAAGGAAAAAAAATTAAAAAATATTTTTAAAAGCCGCTTATGAAACATTTTAAAACGCTTGTGAAACGCTTGTGAAATGTTTCTTAAACGAATATGTTACCTAGCTAAGCTAAGAAGTAATTATAGATATGACTCAACACGAAATTTTTCCGGTCGGCCTTTTCGTACTATCATAAGTGGTACTATTATAAATGTTACAAATGATAACGCAATGACAAAGCGTTAGCATCACATTTTATGCAACAACAAAAAATTTTAAAACTGTGTTACTGAATATGCAGGGCAGACCGGGGACAAAAGTAACAGACTACAGTTGTAACATCGTTAATATTTTTAAAACTATAATAGGTATATGTATGTGGCGGTGAGGCAAAAATTATTAGACAGACCGACATTGCTTTGTTAGTTCCTCATCGGTCCATACGAAACGTGTACGTGTGCAGGAGCAAAAAATACTTTCTTCATTCGTCAAATAAGTAAGTTTTATAAATATGCACAAAATCTAAAATATTTTGATTTTTTAATGGTAAAGTTATAATTACGTGTTATCTAAAAAGATTTTAGTGATCATTTATGTTGATGATTTGCATATTTTAATTGATTTTTATCTATATATTTATTTTGAAACTTTACTTCGAATTATAAAATATCATTGGGGGACAATTGTAACATCGATGCTTAGAGACGGTAGAGTTATAATTGTTTCCGGATTTGTTTAATTTTATTTAAGTATTTTTTGCACAATGTTATTTAAATTTATTAGAAAGAAAAAGAGCTTTTTCCGGTTTTATATACATTTGTCCTTTTTATTTTATTGTAGTTAATTTTATTAAATATATATTATATATATCCATATAACATTGACATGTATGATTATAAATAATTGTATTGCATAAAACTTAATAAATAACTAAGTATTTATCTATAAATAATATAATACAATCGTCCCCATTTATTGTTACAACAGTCCCTGGAGCTGGGGACAGTTGTAACAGTATATCTCATACGTTTAAACAGTAATAACTTTTTTCTTAGTTACATTACAAGATTGAACACAAGAAAATTTTGTACTTAAATAAATTCTACAGCTAAAGGTATGGATTTTTAATGTAAATATTATAATTTAACTGTTATAAGACTTTAAATTCAAAATATTACTTTTCTTCCCTATCTATGTCCCATACATCATCGATTATTGCAAAAAGCTCTCAGAATTATTCATATCAATATTCAACCTTTCATATGCAACAATTCTGAAAGAAAATTATTACACACATCCATGTTGACTCGCATTGTCGTTACTTCACTATTGTTGATTAATTCTGAAAGAATTCTACAATTTATCATATAAAATATTGCAGCAAAAATGTTTTTGAAACCTTTCACACCTAATAAAATTACGTAAAGAGCAGTACGCGGCACTGTCACTAGATAAACGCAACGGGGAGTTTTTTCTTAAAATTAAAAACCATACAAAATATTATAAAGGGTGCAGCATAATGAGATTTTTCATTTGTGTTTTAATAAGATAATTCTTTGAAGGTACAGAGTTCCCAAAGTTGGGCTTCAAGATAAAAATAAATAAAATATATATAAAGATATATAATATTTGGAAGGTACAATTTCATTTAACTTTATGTAAAATTAATTCAGAGATCTAATATTTCTGGGATTTCAAAATTGTTTTAATAAACTTTTAGCAATATTTTTAATATATTTCAGAAAAGTTGCAAATTTTTTCTGTAATTTTTCAGCAACCTTTGTATAAGGTTTCTATAAGTGCAAGAATCGCATACACTTTGCCAATTCATAGCTCACAGGAATATTACAAATTTATTTAATTTTTTATGAAATGCTTCACTTTTCAATTGAAATTCCTGAGATATCTCCGAAAAATTTTTGTGTTTTATGGGTAGTTAACATAAAACTTTTAGAAATCGCGTTTATCATTTTCCATGTTGAAAATGATTAAAATTCATTTATAAACAATGCAAATGCTAACTACATAGATTAATTGTCCCAATTACTGCCGCTTTAAGCTCATAATGTCAATTGATATGCTTATTTTAAAGCTTTTTAAATATGTAACAGATATAATTTTTCATTATTATTTAAGTAAAAACTTTAATATAGTAGTTCTGTTTCACTTTCATTAAGAAGAGAATGGATTCTACATGGTTAGCGACATTCGTAACTTTTTTAATTATTTTATAAATATAAAACTTATTGAATATTTTATATAGTTGTGCTTATACTCATATGACAGTCTCAGTTTAACACTAAAATATTTTTAATATATAATTCTTTTATATTTTTTATTCTAATATTACAATTGAAAAAAGCGGCAGTAATTGAGACAGTTACCCTATACGTTAGTTGCTGAATGGGAAATATATGATAAAAGTCTCGATAAGTTATTAATAACAGCATTCTTATTATTCAGCATTATGACGCTTATAAGTGCTATACTCGTTGCTTTGGCATGTATCGTCAGTTACTTCATTTGGAAATATATCTGTCAAATATTTCTTCTTGGAAAATTCAATCTGCCTGGTCCAAAGAAACTTTCCGATATCTTTCCTGAAACATCTAATGGTAATAGCAAATAATAATGTATTTAAATTATAAAGAAATAGAACTATTGAATTTACCAAAAAAATTATTGACAATACTCTAAAGTTTATAATAAAATATTAGGAGATCAAGTCACAAATCTCAATTAATTCAACATCTAAACATTATGGTCCATATATAAAATGTGCTCTTTTATCGATAAATGCGCAGTTTTATATCTAAAATTTCAAAATATACGTAACATAATTTATAGTATTAGCGCTCTAACATCGTTGTTAGGACATTTTGAATTGTTAGCGCGGGCTTAATTCAGTAAAATACTTGTAAAATTCATAAAAACTTTTTATGTAGCTGCAAAAAATTTGATGTAAATACAAATAATACCAAAAATATTATCAAAATATAATTAAAAAGATCATTTATTTACATATGCAGATAGTATGTTAGTGGCACTCCGTAGAAAATACTTTAATTTTATCCTGAATAATAATATATGTATAGGTAAATAACATTATAACAATATACTTTAAAAAAATAAAAACTTTTTTAGGAGTATTAGATTTTATAGATACGTTGGGGAAGCATTATCCATCTCCATTCCAAATGCGAAGATGCTATATGCCAATCGTTATATTATATGAACCCAACCAAATAAAGGTAAATAAGCATTTATGTTTTCTTGTATAGAATTAAATATCCATTTCAAACTACATTGAAAATTTCACATATATACATACATATGTGTGTGTTCATTTATTTATTTTTTTAAGTAAGTTAACACAAAGCGGATTTTCAAAAACATATTAATTACACAAACAAAGTAAACTCGCGCAAATAAGTAATAAAAATATTAATAATATACAACATTACAGACTGTCTTACGACATTGCTTAAACAAAGGTAGACTGTATAAATTTGCAATACCATTGTTTGGCATGGGAATAGCATCACTTCCTGGTAAAGTATTTTTAAAAGAATAAAACATTTGAAATTAATTGCTGTCTTGTGACTTCTCAATTTGCACAGGAAAATGAAAGCAAATTATTTTTTTTGTTATCGTTTATTTATTAGCTTTTCATTTCCGATGCGTTTACTTTTAGATTGTATTTTACTTATATTTTTATTAGCTTGTACAATATTTTAGTACTTGCTTTTCAGTAATGTACTAAATCTCTTGAAGCTAAAAGTTTTTCCTATTAATGTTTTCTTATAAATATAAATATTAACTCTTAATATATCTACTTTTAATTAAAATAATTTTCTTTTTTCTGATTGTATATTTATAATAAAGAAATAATAATTCTTGCTTTAGAATCTACATGGCCTCAACATCGAAAAATAATAGCACCAAGCTTTAATTCAAACATGGGAGAATTTTTTAATATATTTGTCAAACATGCTTTAATATTTGCAAACGAATTAGAAGATGTCGGATTAAATGGAAACGAAATTATGTTATTTAAACATACAATAGCGAATGCTATAAACATTGCTTGTAAGGAATTGCAATTTATTTATTTAATTTTCTATATACATTTTATAGAAATTCATTCATCAAAGAAAATCATTCATTTATGTGTGCTACTTTACTTAATTAAGATGGAATTTTAAAAGAAATAACCAAGTATAACTAATAACTCTCATAAAAATTTAAGAATACCGGAAACTTGATGATAAACAACTTTTTAAATGTCAAATTTATTATTATTTTATTAAACACTGTAATGGAAAAAACTAAATTTTTAACAAATTAAATTAAAAGTTGTATAAAGCAATATGTGAACATGTGATGTAATAATCAAATTAACATTATTTATTAAAACAAATAATAAAAATAATAAAATAAATTAATATGAATAATAATCACATTCATATACTTGGCACCAAAACATTCATTCTCTTTTGAGATTACATTATACTTGTTCACATACTAATAATAAATAAATAAGCAGACAAAAATTAATATTTTAAATAACAAGTTTTCTCTTTTTATAAAGGCTCTACGCTCGGCATCGAAATGAAAACAGACATAAGAGATAAATGTCTTACAAATATTGAAAGGTATAAAATTTCTTAATTTTTTTCTTTTTAATTTCTAAATTCTTGCAACTAGTGTAAGTACACCGTGATGAGAATTTTATTTTAATATAATTTTTTATATTTTTAAACGACAAATCTTTTTTTATTATTTTCAAGCGATAAAAAAATGTTTTTAATCTTTACCAGTTGTCTGAAATTAAACCTATATATGTATGAGACATTTTTATATCTTTGAAAAAATATATATGTTTTTTATTTGTATAGCATTTAACTTTAAAATGAACATATTTTAGATACAGAGATATTATGAAACATAGATTTTATTCTACATGGATAAATCCATTTCTGTATTTTGATTTTATATTTAATTTCACTACTTTGGGACGCGAACAACAAAAGATTGTAAAGTCAATGCATTCTTTTATTAATAAGGTATATATTGAATATATTTCTTAACATACTTGGTAGCTTTTAATGCTTTGCTCAATTTACATGATATATTTTTTATACAGATAACACAACAACAACTACAATTAAATAAATTGCATGAAGCCGAAACTAATACAATTAGTAAGTATATTCACATTTTATAAAAAGTCAATATAAATTCAACGATATTAAAATGTTTATAAATATATATTCTTTTTAAACTGCAATTAAATTTCGAGGATCAAAATGCTGTGCATCTTTCACATTATTAAAGTGCTCTTTCTAAATGCGTTGATATAATTCTTTAATATAGAATGTTTACGGATATATTTATTATCATAGGCTTAAGAAAATAATTAACTGTTTTTTATCCTTTATTTATTTAATACAGATAAAACGTTTCTCGACAAACTGATGGAAATATTTCGTAAAAATAATTTTACAGAAAAGTTAATTCGCGATAATATTATCACGCTTATTGTGTCGGTACGTTATTTCTACATATAAATATCACTGTTAAAAAAAATTGATAGGAATCTATAGAATCTGTAAAATATTTTATCGTGTCCTATCGTATCTATCGTTTCACTTTTTCTATTCCGAAAGAAATGTTATTGTTTCTTATCGTTTTCTATCACTATCTGATAAAAGCAATTTTAATCGTTGAAATATCGATGGAATTTCTATAGTAACTTATTGTTATATACTGTTTTGATGAAATTTATTATGAATAAATGATTAAAACATTATTATAATGAATTGTTTATACATGTTGATAATTCTTTTTATATCGTTTTCTATCGATTTTTTTAACAGGAATGTTTCTAAGTGAATGATAAAATAAAATTCTATTTTTTCTTAAAAGGCCAGTGATACAATCGGTACTACGTTACACTTTGTTGTCTTCATGTTAGCAAATTTTCCAGAAATACAAGTATGTATATAAAATTTCCAACACAATCGATTGATTGCAAACAGTGCAGAATCCAAAACTATTATTATAGATTATTTATTTATGTATCATGAGATAATATAACATAATTACATATATATGCATAATTTATTAAAATTTTATTCTAAGTAAAGCGTTACATACTGCTATATATTTAAAAAAAATCTAAAAGAAAAAGACAATATGTTTTGTATTCGGCTATGTTTTTAACCAGTCTATTGTAAATTTAAATATTCTGGAAGACGTTTATTATATATACATATTTACATGTATATATTGTATATATATATATTAGGGTGGTCCTTATTTTTCGAGTTATGGAATTTTTTTAGTCTCACAGTTTAGAATGATTTCTTTTCATAAAAAAACAATCCCAGTAAAAATTCAGCTTAATCGAATAACAGGAAATGGTGCCGAAGAATGATTGATTTTTTAGGATCAATGTGTATTTTAAATAATAATTTTTTAAATGAAACTCCCCATTTTTTATTGCGTATACTTGTAGCTTATTTCGAGAGCTTTCCAAAACACATAGATAAAATGTTTTTTGGTTAATTAAATCTCGAATTATAAAACTTGAAAGTTAAGTATCACCGATATTAGTATTATCCAAAGTGTCCGAACAATGGCTAAAACCTTTTAAATGTTATTCAGAAACATGAGCTTCACATATATATCAAGATCAAGGCCATTAAAGATTATTCCTTTTTTTTTCAAAAAATGAAAATAATTTTCAAAAATATTTTTATCTTTAAAAATTATTTTTAGTAGTTATGAACCGTAAAAGAATTATCATGTATATAGGAATTGTTTTTTTATGAAAATAAATCATTCTAAATTATGAGACTAAAAAATTCCATAACTCGAAAAATAATGACCAACCTAATATATATATGTATATATATATACTGTCTCTTATACA